CACCCCAAGGTAGCATTCTAAGCCCAACACTCTTCAACATTATGATTAATGACCTATTCGAGGGAATACCCAATAAAATTCAAACCTCCAAATACGCGGATGATGGCGCCCTCTGGATCCGCACCAGAAGCATAAATATGGCTTAAAAATTACAGCAGAATGCATTAAATAAAATTCAAATATGGGCAAATAAATGGGGTTTCTCACCAAATGCCGAAAAAACCACAGGGATAGTATTCAAACACAGAAATATGCGTGCAAACTACAACTAAACAAAAAGAAACCAAATTTCTTGGACAAATCTTTGATGAACACCTCGCCTGGGGTGCTCACATTAAAAACCTAACAAATAGATGCACTGAAGACTTAAACACACTACGCTGCCTGACAGGTTCCAACTGGGGGGCCTCCAAGGAGACCCTACTATCACTTTACAAATCACCAATTAGATCAAAAATAGACTATGGATACCAAATATACAACACCTTAAACGCCTCATTTAGCGATAAACTAAACTCAATTCAATATCAAGCACTCAAGATAAATTACACGCACTCAGCATGGCGGGGCGGTCGGGTAGCCTAGTGGTTAAAGCGTTCGCTCGTCACACTGAAGACCCGGGTTCGATTCCCGACATGGGTACACTGTGTGAAGCCAATTTCTGGTGTCCCCCGCTGTGGTGATATTGCTGGAATATTGCTAAAAACCATACTCACTCACTCACTCAGCATGGCACGCCGCACATATCGTTACAGGCACTAACAGGTGAAATATCCCTGGATCTACGCCGAGAATATCTAACAAAAATTACTGGGCCTCAACCCAACAAAACCAACAAATCCTTAAAACTAACATAAGCCCCAGACCCCAAGCTCTAGCTCGCAAAACCCCTCCATTAATACTAATCTCTCAACGCATAATAAATTACCTAAATACACACAACCTAAATACTTCACAATTAAACACAGCACCAAATAACACCTTCATACCCAAACTCCAAACCCCCCAAATCGACATATCTCTCTTCACCAGAATATATAAAGAAACTGATCCAAAAACCGCTAAACCACCACACAAGCATACAATCACGAAAAATGAGTCCTTTCAAAAAAAACTAATCCTTTCCGACTCATTAAGTGGGCTCCAGGCCATAAAAAACAAAAACACCAAAAAACGCCCAAAACTAATACAACAGATAATTAAAAGCGTAAACTAGGTAAAGACATAGAAATAGTTTGGATCCCTGCCCACGTTGGAGTGTTTGGCAACGAACACACAGACAAGGCAGACAAATCAGCTCTAAAATTAGAAGTAAGCATCGACCTACCAATATATAAAAAAAACGAAATTAAAAGTATCACAAAGGAGAAAATCTTCCAAAAGTGGCAAAATAACTATCAGAAATCTGATTGCAAACTAAAATACCTGCTAAAAAAGCCACTCAAAAAAAAAAAATCCATCTTAAAACCAAAAAAACAAATGACAGTGTAATAACTAAACTACAAACAGGCCACACTAAGTTAAACTCCCACCTACACCAAATTAAAAAAACCCACCAAAACCGGCAAATGCCCCCACTGTAACTTAAAAGAGTGAGTGAGTGAGTTGGGTTTAACGCCGATACCTGAATACAGGATGCATGCCACAGTTCATCTCTCAGAGGGGCGGTCGGGTAGCCTAGTGGTTAAAGCGTTCGCTCGTCACGCCGAAGACCCGGGTTCGATTCCCGACATGGGTACAATGTGTGAAGCCCATTTCTGGTGTCCCCCGCCGTGATATAGCTGGAATATTGCTAAAAGCGGCGTAAAACCATACTCACTCATTCACTCACTCACTCATCTCTCAGATGTCTAGCTGTGACGATGCGTTGGCGTAGTGCCATGTGTACGATATATGTACCCGGCATCGCGCTGTGATGTTGATCTTTGCCTACGAGAGCGAGGACGATTCTCTGAATGGAATTGGTGGTTTGGAATCGCCGCCATAGTCTGCCAATCACACTTTCACTACAACGAATCTACACATCAGATGAGGTGGTTCTTCAAAATGCACCTTTGTCAAGAACAAAAGACATGTTTGACATGTTCTTAAATACAGTAAACTACGATTATAACGAACTCAAAGGGACCACTGATATTAGTTCGATATAACCGTAGTTCGTTACAAGCATATATACAGCAAATGGCCGGGACACACACAAAAGGTTCGTTATATCCGTCAGTTCGTTATAAGTTCGTGTTTACTGTACCTCTGAAACGGTTGGATTTGTTCCGTGATGATTAATGATACTTCTAGTTACACACTTGTGATTTTGCCAAATTAAAATCAGGAGTTTTGAGCAAATATAAATCGTAAACGCCTGAGAGTAGCCAGTCTCGATTTCCCGAAAGAAAAAGATTCGATTGGGCGTTAACGGCAAAATAGCGTTGAAAACATTATGAATGGATGTCCGAAATCAGTTTCGACACAAGATATTGGCGAAAAGGGTAAGCATGTCCTGCCCTAAAGGACACTTTCAAGGCATGGGCCAATTTGTTTTCGCCCATTGGCGAAATAGTTTGATAACGCTAAATCTTAGTTGAATATAGGTGAATGATGTGTTACGATACTTGTGGAAACACATTTATATATTTTCGAAAGGAAGCCAATGAAACTTTGCTCGCCAAAGGACCAAATTGTTTTCGCCCACAGACGAAATATGTTAATAAAGCTATAAATCTGTTGAATTTAGTTAAACATGAAGTGAATGATGTGTCATGATATTTGTAGACACACCTGCAAAACAAAAAACAGGAGTTTTGGGCAAATGAGACCATTCTCGCCCATTGGCCAATTGTCTTCGCCTATTGGTGAGATATGTTAAAAACGTTATACATAAGTTGAATTAATCTAAAATAAGTTGTATTGTGTGTCATGATACTTGTAGACACACCTTTAATTATTTGCAAAACAAAAACATGAGTTTTAAGCAAAGGAAAATATTCCCGCCTATGTGCGACATAGTATAACTTTTGAGTTTTGGAAATATTGTTTTTTCATTTTTTTCTACCCTAGTCTATACCCATAAAAATAGCATGTTAAATATTATCAATATCTTTGCCCGAGACTGGCCACAGTGCCGAGAGTTTCTGGACAAATGTTTATACATATATATAAATAATGAAGACATATGGGCTAAAATTCAATGTATTTCATAACCATCCTTTCATAAACTTATTCCAAAAGAAAAGAGATACAGGCAATAGGTCACCGGTGATTGAACCAGTTCAATGGACACGTTGTAATGCCACCGCATACCATTTTTGAACCACCCCCAAATGGATTAAGCGCCACTACAGTGGCATCATGAAAACGTTCATGTTGCCGTCTGTATACGCGTCCACGCACATCATGAAAAGACAGATTAAATCTGCTTTCATCAGTTAACAGCAATGTCCACTGACGTTGATTCCAATGCTGATGACGTCGGCACCATTGCAAGCGAGGTTGTCTGTGACGTGGTGTCGGTGGTGGACGAACTGCAGGACGTCGTGAACGGAGATCAGCAGAACACAATCTGCTTCGCACGGTTTTCAGGCTAATACGGACATTATTGGCATTAAAGTGTTCATCACCTATCTGACGTGATGTCAGAAATCGGTCACGTAAGCCAAGGATCACAATCCTGCCTCTGTGTTGTTACCCTAGGACGACCTGGTCTTCGAACATAGGCAACTGTTCCAATGGCCGGGTACCGCTGCTACAGCCTCCCAATCACACTCTGAGTGACGTGTAAGTGTGCTGCCACCTGGCGTTGACTATTGCCAGCTTGGAGCATCCCAACGGCTCTGCCTCGATTATCAACATTATCGACGCATTGTTACGCGTGTTTCCTGTCATTCACTACTGTTAATGAGGTTTAAAACCAGTCTCAATACTTTGATTTGCACGTGCAGCTACTGACAACTGGTTGTGTTCGGGCGATACGATTTTGTGACCATGAACACAATGCTTAAATTTGTGAAAATTATTGTTTTTATTAATACAGCCACAAACATTTACATTGGTGTGGTCTTTAACAACTTTGGCTTGGATCATGATTAGTTTTGGGTTTGAATAGGAGGAGGCCTTCAATTGTATCGCCCTTAACGATATGGTCACCCTTCAATAGTTGTGTACAGTAACACGTACATGTATATTAACATTTGCACAGACAGACAAATTGATATCTATTGACAGCGAATGAAAACAGAAAATTTTGAAATGTAGTTTTATTGCAACTCACCAGAGACAATGACAGGGCATGTATTACATTCAGACAAACCATTATTGGGAAGACAAAAATATGCTACTGATATCATATTTCATTTGGATATAACATGTAACTGATTAAGTTTACATTTGTGACTCTGACGCTGTGACAATTAATGCAGCATTCACGACACACAATCCTACATTAATTTAACATTTAAAAGGTAATAAGATTAAGAAAGTACGTGTTAAAATTAATGCTTTGTAGGAATATGACTGAGAAGTTGGGTTTTCATAAAATACAAATTATAGCTTTTTCAACTGCATTTTCACAATGGTGTAGAGGAATATGACGTTTTATATTTTGATAAGCTCTGATCATGTAAAGTCAATAAATGTCTCAAAAACCAGAGATTTAGGGGCAGAATAATTGTTGGTGATATGTGTTGAGTGAAAATTATTTCCACTATACTTTGAATAAAGGAGTTAATGCTCTACAAAAATCTACCGAACAATATGAAGATGCTTAAATTTGTGAAAATTATTGTTTTTATTAATACAGCCACAAACATTTACATTGGTGTGGTCTTTAACAACTTTGGCTTGGATCATGATTAGTTTTGGGTTTGAATAGGAGGAGGCCTTCAATTGTATCGCCCTTAACGATATGGTCACCCTTCAATAGTTGTGTACAGTAACACGTACATGTATATTAACATTTGCACAGACAGACAAATTGATATCTATTGACAGCGAATGAAAACAGAAAATTTTGAAATGTAGTTTTATTGCAACTCACCAGAGACAATGACAGGGCATGTATTACATTCAGACAAACCATTATTGGGAAGACAAAAATATGCTACTGATATCATATTTCATTTGGATATGACATGTAACTGATTAAGTTTACATTTGTGACTCTGACGCTGTGACAATTAATGCAGCATTCACGACACACAATCCTACATTAATTTAACATTTAAAAGGTAATAAGATTAAGAAAGTACGTGTTAAAATTAATGCTTTGTAGGAATATGACTGAGAAGTTGGGTTTTCATAAAATACAAATTATAGCTTTTTTAACTGCATTTTCACAATGGTGTAGAGGAATATGACGTTTCATATTTTGATAAGCTCTGATCATGTAAAGTCAATAAATGTCTCAAAAACCAGAGATTTAGGGGCAGAATAATTGTTGGTGATATGTGATGAGTGAAAATTATTTCCACTATACTTTGAATAAAGGAGTTAATGCTCTACAAAAATCTACCGAACAATATGATATTGATCTGTTTATAATTTCCGTCGCTATATGGCTGAAATAATACCGATGCGACGTTAAATGTTAACTCACTCACTATAATATATTTCCGGTCCCTGCTTCAATACATACAACTTCAAAAAACTAATTGCATAATTTTCAATTTGAAATCAAACTTTAGAAAGTCCACCTTTAAATCACATTTAGAAGTGATCCTCATAAGGATGAGATTACTTAACTGGTAGTGCTAGATTCCATTTGTCCATTACTAATCACCAAACAGCGGCAATTAACTGTTGGCTTCACTTGTTAAGTCTCCACCTTTGTTATCTTATTACTTTTGTTGTTCTTACAGGTACATATATATGTTCTCTGCCTCATAACATTTATTCACCCGATGAAGGAGTAAGCTTATAATCCGAAACGTTGTGTTTCTCATAATAAAGATGTTGACATTCATATATTTTCCTCCTTAACACATTTTGTATTTCAAATAAAGTATGACCTACACGCATCAACCCTAACCCTAACCCAAGAGGTATGTTTGTACCGCAGGATTTAAAGCAAACAAATCATTCTCCTCATGGTAGAATTTCTAACTTAGGCTGAAGCAAATTTCAAATTCTGCCTTGCAACCGAGGTCGACCCAGACAATAGAGCCGATGATGCCGTAGTCTCGGCCCTCGGTGCAGGTGTTGTCATACTCAATGTTGGTCACTTCCAGGAACGTCAGTGATGTTGCATGTGGCAACGTAAACGTGATCCTCGAGTAGCCGCTTGACCACTCGTCAATACACTTAGGCTCTGGAAAAGATAAAAATGTGAGTTCAGTTTGTTTGTTTGTTTGTTATTGAACGCAGCACTCGGCAATGTTCCGGCTATATGACGGCTGTCCGTAAATAATCAAGTCTGGACCAGACAATCCAGCGATTGGCATCTTGACCATTATTTTACGCAATTGGGATACGATGACATGTATCAACCAAGTCAGCGAGCCTGACCAAACGATCCCGTGAGTCGGCTCTTACGACAAGCACGGGTTGCTGAAGACCAATTCTAACCCGGATGTTCACAGGTGGTGAGTTGAGTGAGCGAGCGAGTGGGCGTGTGGGTGGGACGTGAGTCAGTGAGTGAGTTTCCAATAGAAAACATTGGTTGACCATTTCCATTTAAAACATTCAAAATCCCACCATGATTAAATTGAGTTTGCAAATGAAATATGTTACAGTCATAATGTTTGAGTCGCCGAAACGTCTCTATTTTACTTTCATCAGATCAGATAAGATTATTATTATCCATACCTGTCATATCAATGTGGCATAATGTTAAATGTGAGTACAAGTCGTTTACCTGGAGTTGTTGGTGGGGGCGGTGTGGTCAGCACGTCCATTAAGTCAACTGAAAATAGTTTTAATTTGTAAAATAAGATTTTAAAATAATATCAGACATTCACAATACGTTTTAACGAAAATTGATATCGTCTCAGCACAATACACCTTTGGACATCACTAACACACCGTTTTGATGAAGTAATATGTGTTTGAGAGCAAATTAAAGATACGCCTCTAATTTTATTTTATTTTAACAGTCTTACATCTCTACAGGGAATGAAAATAAAGAGAAATGCATAATGTGAATTAATTTAAAATTTGAATTCAAATTAAAAATGTTTAGAAGCCCGATTAACCACCAGTACGCCATACAAAGACAAGGAGCGAACTGTTTGGGTTACGTGCTGCTTAAGAAATACAATATTTTATTAGCAACAAGATCATAGTTATGTTTGACTTTCGAAATTTTTCCACGAATGAATTTGACCGTGGGGAGTTGAGTTATACTCTGCTTATTCAAGCCGTATAACTTGGGGGAACGACACTGAAATGTACCAATGTAGAGATTCGAACCCAGGACTTCGGCTTGAGTGCCAGAGTCAGTGCATAAAATAAGGCAAACATACATACCTGCCGGAGTCACTTGTTCGACCACGGAAACGTTGCCTTCTACAAGATGAAACAATATGTATGAATGATTTATTTCAAAAATAGAAATTATTCAGCATGTCAATATCAAATTGTCTGCAGTACAACAATTTAAAAATAAATATCATAAAGAACCTTCCGTGCCGCTAAAACGTTTAAATTTAATATTTCGAGGAAAACTTATTCTGAAAATGATTGAAAACGTTAGAAATAGGAAATAACTGATATCGGTTTCATTTGAAAACATTTGAATTTCCAATGTTCAAGTTCGACAAGCTTAAATGTGTTCATGATTTGATCCTCAGCAAGCCCTCGACACAAGGTGACTTTTAAGGAGTTATCTAGTGAGGGAGTGGAGGTGTACACCGCTTTTAGCAATATTCCAGCAATATTATGACGGTAACATCCGAAAAGAGCATGGTTCCCTGCCGCTCCAGGATATGTAAAATAACAACACCGCAGATAATAGGTGAAAACTTCCTCATTGGTCGGTGAAATTTTTCTTTGAATTCCATAGCAATTTTTGAAAGGTTTTCCCCAATTTTTCAAAAATAACAGTGTTTTTTCTATCATAAATTATTCCTTTACCATCGCCATTATATATTTTTCGTTATTAGGATTCGACCAACCGAACAATCAAGACAAAAAGATGAAAATACACCGAGGTGCAAGTGTCTTTTCAGACTGCCTAACAATCCGTAATTCACTAAATACAACGATTGAACAGTTGAATAGAGACTGACGCTCAAGAGACAAAACAGACAAAAATACATCTCAAAAGCATCTTAACTTTATCTCAGTAAAAAACGTTCATGATTTAGTGAATAAATATAGTGGTACGTGCTAGTTCTGTCTAAGAATAATAGCCCATCGAAAAAAATGCGTGTACGATGCGACAAAAAAAGATTGGGCACTCAGACTCGGTGACCCAGTGCTATTGTATATTATATGGCTGGGAATAAGCGAATTCTCACATGTTCCTGTGATTTACTGCTGAAGGCTCGTGGAAGGAGGTGATGGTCACCCTTTCTCTACTCCTACAGAGATACGTCGGAGGTCTATTAATATTCTTCTTTTATTCACATTTTTGGATGGCCTCCACGTGAACGCCACACATAAACGTTTTTTCACCATTATTAATAACGGATGCTTCAAGGGGAAATTCACTCACCAGTTGGTGCTATTTCCATAGCTGGTAGATCTTGAAAAGAAGAAATGACACGTATACTAATGTGAAACATTAATGGAACATGTGACAATCAAGCAGTTGATAATTTTATTGTTACTCTAAAGTAAGTCTTTATAAATAACAATAATAAGAACAACAATGGAGGTTTTTCATGAAATAAGTTCAATTTGACTGAAATTAAAGTTTACTTACTGGATAGGATTCCGGTCTGAGCTGGATCATGTACCATACCTAAACATATAAACATGAGATATGATACGAATGCTTAAATGTTATTTTTCATACTAGAATATTTAATTGAAGGGGTCAAAATATATCCATCACTAAATTCCACTGGAAAGGTAAAACCTGCCGGATTAAGTTGCAAGTGCTAATATAAGTTAATGAAAGTCGTCTTGAGTATGGGATAGTAGTGGCAATGGCAGAAGATAAACAAATGAAAAAGTTGATTCTGGAAAAAAAGAGAAAAGAAATAGAAAACAAACAAACAAACAAACATAGAATAATGTATGTATATTGAAATGGATTTAACGTCGCGTCCAAGATTATTGCACTTATATAGCGACGTGCATGCACGTTTGTTTGTGTGGCTGCTTGTACTAGTCCGGACTGATGCCGATTTATAGTGCTAGCTCACTGAGATACCATGCCGCAGTTTAACATGAATACCCCACTGAGACACAGTATACTGACTCCGAGCCGAACAGTCCTTGTTTTAGCCCCTTAATGCCGAGCGCCAGACAGGGTAACAACAAGTACAATCTTATGTCTTTTTGTATGACGCGGCCGGGAATCGAACCCTAGACCTTCCGCTCTCCGGGCGGACACTCTACCACTAGACCACGGAGGCGTTCAGAATAATGTATGAATAAGTGATCGAATGTATACATCTAAAGGACAAAACAGATAATTATGTGAAGCATTAATTCATTCATCAACCCGATTCACAAAAGTACTGTCGGAAATGCTAGAAAAATGCTTTTCTGGCTTAATTTAGAAATATGAAAATAGCATACATCAAAATAACTCAAATCTACATCTGATCTAACTGACACTGTGACTCGCCTTTAAAGGTGCTTTTACAGGTAAAATGAAAAACTAAGAAAATATTCGTGCGTTGTCATGCATATGTGAAACGGCCTATAGCGTTAGGTCATCACCAGACACCTGTCCCGAGGTGATGACGTTACACCGTCCCGTGCATTCTCACAGGTAGAGATGTACGTTACCTGAGTAGGGGTTGTCTCAAAATATTCTCATTGTATTTTATTGAGATAGCTGTGACGGGAATAGCATTTAAGATATGTACTGCATCATTTTTGCATGGGAAATTTGGGAATAGTTAAAAGCTATTGGATGGTCTGGATTTATGAATTAAGGAGTATTTGTTGTTCTACAGATGCTTTCTTTATCTCACTCAGCGTATCTAAATCTGTACTATCACTCAACTGGTGCAACAAGGCTGATATCTACGCCGTTACTTTCCTATATTGACTTGTACCATATGTTCCTATGATTACCTTCACATGTAGTCAGTGGAATGATTCTTATTCACCCAGGTTTCATCAAGGTAAATGACTGCGACATTCATGTATTGTTCGGAGATAATGTGACCTCATAGACAGGATGGAATATATCTCCCTGAAATCTGCTCAGTCACCACTACGTGCAGTGCTTCGAAATCCCATCTCGTGGAGAACAATAATTAATATAGTCCGGGAAACATCAATTGTGTCTTTTATTTACTCCTGAATTCTCCTACAAGTCGGGGTAACTTCTGCTCATAACGTTTGTACACTGTACGCCTAATCACCCTGTATCAAAACTATCTATAATCCTTTTTTTATTCCCGACATGAGTATAAAGTGTGGAACCCATGTCTGGTGTCCCCCGCCGTGATATTGCCGGAGTATTGCTAAAAGCGGCGTAAAACCATACTCACCCACTAATATGCTTTTACGTCCCGATTTCGTTTTTGAGATGACCCCTACCGTCTTTATTTCATTAATCACACCGTAGAGTTGTTGGTAAGAACGCCACGGAGCATGTGCCGTTCGGTAATACATCATATCCAAGCTAACAAATGGTTTCCCTCTCTCAAGTGTATAGTACGTTTATCTATTACTTGCCCGTGGAGAGATCACCTGTTTATAAACATAGTTGTATAACGCATTGTGTAATACAAAAGCGCGTGCTTAAGTTATAAATGGCAAGTAATAAATAAAATACTAAACTCGTGAATAGTTCTGGTATCTGACTCGCTTTCGCTTGTCAAATACCAGAACCATTCACTCGTTTCATAAAACTGGTATTACACGGGAGCGAGTTTAGTATTCTATATACATATCAGCCCACCACAGACTCCTTGCCGTGTACCACATAACAAATGCAGCGTCATTTTGTTAACATCTAAGATGCACGTCTAGAATTTTCTCCATTTGACTTGGGTTTTTTTCTGGATGAGATGTTTTATAAACATTATTATTGCGTTGTTTTCATTATGAGTCTTGACATGCTTCACAAGAGGATCACCAGACAAATAAATGTGTGCAAAAGTGAACAAAACAATTCTATCATGAATTATTATTATTATTATTATTATTATTATTATTATTATTGTCGTGGTTGTTGCTGCTGCTGTTGTTGTTATTGTTGTTGTTGTTGTTGTTATTATTATTATTATTATTATTATTATTATTATTATTATTATTATTATTATTATTATCATCATCATCATCATCATCATCATCATCATCATCATCATTATTATTATTATTATTAAAACGGAGTCACATGCGCATATTTCTATAGTTCGTTTCAGACTTCCCTCATTGGACTTGTTAATAACATTCTGTCATGTTTTAACGGACAAAAAGCATTTTTCTAGCATTTCCGACAGTACATTAGTACCAATACTTACGAGCAACGCGGGCCACTGAGAGGTGGAAACAGATGAACACCTTGCCCTTGCACCCCGCGTTCACCCACACTGTTGTGTTACGTACTCCGTATGACGTATCACGTAGACACACTGCTTGGTTACCCACGTTGTCAACGGCAACGCTTATGACCTCCGACGCTATTGGGTATTCAAACTGGATGTTGGAGTCTCCGCTGGCCCACTCTTCTACGCATGCGTGCTCTGTAAGTTACGATGCGTTGTAACGTTATTGGCATTTACGATAAAAAGTTAAATTATCATTACTTTTATTATTTTATTTTTTTACAGATTAATACAAATAAATACAGGAAAGAGGGTTCGGGTGGTCCTGGCACAGTCCCTTCCACACACAGCGAATGGGCTAGTCGAACACACCAACAACATTTCGGGAACTGTGAAGACTACCCAACACTGCAGCTTTCTGCATAACCCAGATTGTCAGAAGGGCTGTATTCCTGGTAGCAAACCCGGGTACTCTCTGAGTACATCTGAGTCCAAAACCACAAGGATAGCGGAGACGTTAACAAAGGATCGAGCCCTGCCATCATGTCACTTAAGATACTGTGTTTGTGATAAAGCTGGGCATCCACTGACAATGTGTTGCACAGTCTAGTCTCCTCCTACTCCTTTCCCTCCTCTTCCTACCACTACTACTACCACCACCACCACCATAAACACTACTACTACTACTACTACTACTGTTGCTACTACCACTATTGCTACTACTACTGCTTCTACTACTACTACTACTACTGCTACTACTACTGCTACTACTACTGCTACTACTACTACTACTGCTACTACTGCTGCTGCTACTACTACTGCTACTGCTACTACTGCTACTACTGCTACTACTACTACTACTACTACTGCTACTACTACTACTACTACTACTGCTACTGCTACTACTGCTACTACTACTACTACTACTACTACTACTGCTACTACTACTACTACTACTACTACTGCTGCTGTAGATGTTTTTAACATATAGGAACTAACGCAGCCGCACTTACCTGGTTTTGGCATTTCGGGAACGGCTGCAGATGGAACATTGGGTTTGAGTATCAATTGTTATGCAAGATGTCAAATGTAACAAATGCGACACATTATTTATGCATTTTTGAAATATGGCACTATTACGTCAAAGATAATGATGACCGCGAAGATAATAATATTCAAAGTAAATAATAATAAAGTAATACTGATACAAGAAATAGATCTAGTTGTTGCTTTTACGTCATCATTTAGGAACACGTGCAGCTGTACATACCAGGCTCGGTCATGGCAGGAGCGGGTACAGCTGTGAATGAAATAGAAAAGGTCAGCGCCAGACAATAACCAGTCTCGATTATCTGTCGAAACAGATTCCATTGGTGTGTGTGTGTGTGTGTGTGTGTGTGTGTGTGTGTGTGTGTGTGTGTGTGTGTGTGTGTGTGTGTGTGTGTGTGTGTGTGTGTGTGTGCCGAGTTTGTCCACCAGGACCTGCTCGTCCATGTTGTGTGTATATGTCCACAGACAGAGCATTTCAGAGACAATTTGTAGTGTTGCATCGTGGACACTTGTCTAGTGGAAGTCAGGTAGGCGTTCCATTACAAGCAGGAAATAGAGTTAGTTTGCTGTCTGCTAACATGTTGGCAGCGAGAGAGAGAGAGAGAGAGAGAGAGAGAGAGAGAGAGAGGGGGGGGGGGGGGGGGGGGGGGGGGGAAGATGTACTTACCCGGCAATGGACTTGCAGCTGTAATTAAAAGTTTCAATGAAATTCAATGCAGTCGAGCGAAAAAAAACTCCACATACTTTTGGATTTGTGCGTTTACACATACAAACGTAAACAGTAAATAGCCATAGTTCTAATTACATATAGGAGATATATAGCGGGAAGTATACTAACATTCATTGTGTCGAGAGAATGACCTTTCACGATGTACACTACACAGTGATTACTTTTAGTAAATTTCCACCATCTCGAAAAACATATATTTTGCACGTGTCGGTGGTAATTTAGACATTCAGAAGATCAGTGTCATTTGTAGATATTTTTCAAAAGATACATGGACGTTAGGAATATATAAACATTTAAAACGCATGTCGCTTCACTTATTCCAGGTGTAAAGTGTACGCTTGGAGGACGATTAGTATGGAGTGATGCCCAGGCATATACCAGTAGGTACATTGATAATAATTAATTAATCAAGACTGACAATAATAACCACAATAAACATTACTATAAACATTACTATACCAAATGTGAACGCTGTAAAAATGTATTTAGAATGTAAACACATAGAAGACTTTTTTATATCTTAACATGTTTAGGAATGTGTTTAAATCCCAAACGAAATACACACTTGGTCTGTTCTGTCTCAACACGCTGTTAAAGATGTTAAACACTTCAGACACTAAACGCGTTCAGCTGTTAAACACTTCAGACACTAAACGCGTTCAACTGTTAAACACTTCAGACACTAAACGCGTTCAACTGTTAAACACTTCAGACACTAAACGCGTTCAACTGTTAAACACTTCAGACACTAAACGCGTTCATCTGTTAAACACTTCAGACACTAAACGCGTTCATCTGTTAAACACTTCAGACACTAAACGCGTTCATCTGTTAAACACTTCAGACACTAAACGCGTTCATCTGTTAAACACTTCAGACACTAAACGCGTTCAGCTGTTAAACACTTCAGACACTAAACGCGTTCAGCTGTTAAACACTTTAGACACTAAACACGTTCAACTGTTGGACACTTTAGGGGTCGCGATACAATACATATCCCGATACTCTTGTTGCGATACAATTCGTATCACGACACAATTCTTTTATCTAAAAAAACTGATATTCTTTCTTTTTGCAGGTGAATCACAACCTGAACCATTTGTTTTAAAATTTCAGAGATCGAAGATGGGATGTTGTCGGGCAGAAACATATAGGCTAGCGGGTACTGTGCGGGTTATGCTATTTAATGCAAACTGGGGGCGGTCGGGTAGCCTAGTGGTTAAAGCGTTCGCTTTACGATGGTAAAGTCCCGGGTTCGATTCACGATGGGTACAATGTTTGAAGCCCATTTCTCGTGCCCCCAGCCGTGATATTGCTGGAATATTGCTAAGCGGCGTAAAACTATACTCACTCACTATTGCAAACTGGGAAATACTAAAGACCCTGTGTAAGCTGGTTGTTAAACAGCCTCTGTTAGTATTCACGTGTTTACACCAATATACCTTGTATTGTCTTATGTATCGCGATACAGGGTCGTAAACAGACGTATTGTATCGTGGGCCTTGTATCGGGACATAATACTGTACCTCTACAGTACTACCGATAACCTATAACATTCCCCAATATAGATACCCATGCTTTCAACTTAGACGCGAGACAATGTAAAATGCCACCTACTGCCAGGGAACGCTTCCACCTTGAACGCAGGGTCATTTACTCGTGCTGAAGACAAGAATGGGAAAAAATGTCAATATTTTTTATACAAAAGCAAATCACATAAAGTTCCAACATATGTTATTATTGACTTCATATTGGTGTATTCTATGATGAAACTTACACATCTGGAATGTACCGATATCTCGAACCTATTCTCTGGCCCTGACAGCCTAACTATATAGATACATATGAAATAACTCGAAGTCACAACACGGCCCGCTAGGTTCGAGATACCGAGGTCCCACTGTGTTTAATATACACAAAGAAAAAAGTTAAGCACACACCTATTTCTGAACTATGACAAATGGCAAAATTCATGGCATGGGATGACTGACCACAAGAGCTGGGCGATACCAATGTCATCAGATAGAACAAACATTTGACAACAAATAAAGAAGATATCATTGTAACACAGGTACTGTTTTTGACCTTAGACAATACCTCAAAGTATGGAGCTGCAGGATTAAGTAAACGAGTAGGTTTGATGTTTCATGTGAACATGCTCCTAAAAGTCTCTACTTGACGTGACACGTGAAACAGATCACTAGCAGGTATAACCGCCACGTGCCCGGATGACGCATTCTACCCTACGTCTCATGCCTTCAGTCAGATCTGTCGGATCTGTTGATGGGTCAACAACAACCTCTCCTGATGCAATGCTGCTTCCAATTGGCGTAAATCTTGTACAGGAGGATCTCGAGCAAGTGTGCGCCGCCCCAGAATATCCCAAACATATTCAAGGGGGTTCAAATCTGGGCTCATTGCTGGTCAGGGTAATCCACGACTGCATGCGAACGATGAGGCCTGGCATTGTCATCCATGTACTGTGGTCGAGTAGCAAGAGGGTGGTTGTCAAAATGAGGAAAGACGACTGGCCTCTAAACATCCCGGATGTAGTGATCCCCTGTTAAGTTGCCCCTAATGGTGACCAAATCCAACCTGCAATCATGAGAGATACACCCCCAAACCATTACCGGGCCCACGCCGTATGTAACAGTCGGTTTAATATTCCTAGGGGTGTAGACCGTGCCTCAAAACTCTCGTTCTTCCATAAGTGACGTGGAGCAGAAAGCGACTTTCGTCTGACCAATTGATCCGTCTCCATGTTCTCAGATTCCAGTTCTGTACATCACCGGTCTGAGCATGCTTCTCGACTAAACGGCTTACGACATTGTGGTGATACCCCCTATTCCGACCAATGGCATTACAAGACATTCCTGCGTTATGCATGCCGAATATTTGCCATCCTGTGGCGTTTGATAATTGCCTTCGTGCCATGGTCACACCATGTCATGGAATAACTTTCTAAAACCGAGCTTAAGAAACAATTTAACGTCTGGATATACTGCTTTTAGAGATACTCGAGGGTAGCATGCTGCACGGGCATACCATGCATGGCACGTGAGCTTTCGTCACGCATGACTGATTACATCATCTCGAGAAAACATAATTGTTCCCCTAATTATATCGTTCATAAATGTTGGGGCCAAACAATAATGAAATATATTAGGGTGTGCTAAACCTTTTTCTTTGTATATATTTAAGAGTTTCGAACTGCTTCGAGCTTTAAAGACAACACACGTAGGCAATAAAACAGACATGGAAACGAATTGACACGCATAAGAGAACAATGAAAATATAGGGAAATAAGCTTTACTGTCAGTACATTTGAAATGGCGTGCATACAAATTCAGCACATGTCAGAATCAAATGTTTGAGAATAAAGCTTTACTGTCATTGAATTTGAAAGCGTATTTGGAAGATGAGGCTTGAAACCCATGACAGCATATCATTTAACCGTCTTATTCTAACCCGGATGTTCACGGGTCATGGAGATTCATGAAGCTATACTTACGCACAATTGGACCGGGGGAGACTTCATAGCATATGGTGACCTCGGCTTGACACCCGTTGCTGACCCACACAGTATTTCCTGTCACGCCGTACGTGGTGTCACGAATACACTGCATCCTGTTCCGGATATTGTCCAAAGTGACTCCTAAGATTTGCTTCGCTTGGGGAAAGTTAAACCCAATTTCAGTTTCTCCACTTGCCCATTCTTCAATACAATGGCGCGCTGAATCGGAAAGGACATGTTTAATTAGAGTACATTTTGCTGCTGTCAACAGCTATGTTAGTAAAATTAAGTAGAGGCCCAACAACACAGTGGTTGATAGCTTGAGCATTTATCTACTCCCTCAAGGTCTGATTACAAAAGCCTTGTTACCCTTAGGTGTGCAAGAAACCTATGATTCTAGGTTCGAATCCAGGTTCGCCAGCATTATGTTTCTAGGTTTGTCAGTACCATACCCATGCTCGTTGGTTTCACCGAAGTGGTAAACATCTGAGGCTTGTATAACTTTGGGCTTTCATCCCACTTTAAGCTGCCACGCCGTGACATAAATGAAATACTGTTAAACGGCGTTAAACCAAACTCACTCACTCACTCGTGCTAACTCCTCCAGCCTGCGTCTCTGACGTCACAAACGGAGCACCTACACTATATTCTTTACCATAATACATCTGGGGCATGGGGCCAGGGAATACTACTGAATCTTATATCTTGGATTCAACCACGATCATAGGTTCCCGGCACACCTAAGGGAGGCAACTCTGCACAACGAATTGCCCGCCTAATACCGCTGAGCCACTTGTGTCCCTGTTGTTACTATGACAATCCCATTACATATGAGACTCATCTTAGAGTATGAATTAGAATCCGAATTTTCAGCACTATTCCAGCTTTATCACGACGGCTTGTAAATAGAAGTCACGATCACGCAACTAGTAATACATAGAGTTAGCACCTATCCACTGGGCACCATGACACATAGTGACCGTCTTATCAATAGTCGGCTCCCACGACTATGGAGGGCTTATTATGGGAAAAAAGAGGCTTGGTTGAAAGTTCTTCGGTACGTTTCCCCGTGTAAAGGTCAGAACCAATAGACGATTGATTGAGTGAGACATATAATTTTACCCCGCTTTTAACAATATTCCGACCCGTGAATATCCGGGGTAGAATAGGTCTTCAGCAACCCATGCTTGTCGTAAGAGGCGACTAACGGGATCGGGTGGTCAGGCTCGCTGACTTGGTTGATGCATGTCATCATCGTATCCAAATTGTGTAGATCAATATTCATGATGTCAATCACTGGATTGTATTGTCCAGACTCGATTATTTACAGACCGCCGTCATATAGCTGGAATATTGTTGAGTGCGGCGTTAAACAACAAACAAACAAACAAATTTAATTCATTCCAGCAAAGAAACCAGAAATGGGTTTCACCCGATATAACCATGTTGATAGTCTGTTTCACAGTCCCAGAATCATATCAATATCCATCTGCCCAGCCCTTACTGGAATGATGAAGCCCTAAATGAAGCAAGTCTAGATATCTTCAGGTTCTGAACTCCCATACTGGAGCTCCTTTTCAATTTGAAGTAAGTTTGTTTTTATCAAAATCATATTTTCAGACACAAAGCGTTCGTCTACCATTTGGAGGCTCGAATCGGCCCTTCGGCAAACGAGCAAACGCTTTAATCACTTGACTGACCCACCGAACACCAACATTTTAAGATTAGGTATTTTGATAACTGGTTTCCACTCACTCTCCACTATTGCGAGTTTATTTTTGACAGAAATATTAACAGTACCGTTCAGAGGATCATTGTTTCTTCCAGCTTTTACAGGAGGGTGCAACGCCGGTGCTGTAAACAGAGATATACAATGCAACAATGTATCTTGTAGCCACCATACACATTTAGAATATTTTTTTGTCAACAAGCGCTGGTGTTTCTGTTACACTTGAAACCGTGTTTTTTTAAGATGAACACTTGACTTGACTTGCCTTTGCACGTGTTTGTGATAGGTACACCAGTGCAGGATATGCTCACCTGGTATCATCACTATTTGATAGGTTCATAAACACATGATCATGATATAGTCGCAACGTACAATCGAGTCTTTTTTTTTCTTGTGAATATGGAAAGGGTTTGGTCGCTTTCAGTTAACAGAAGCACACCGTAAATGCGATGTTGTGTTGTTAAAGAGACTTTGCCTGTACTGCCAATTATCTTGAGCCGAGTCCGCCTTTAAGGTCGACTAGCAGATATGTAACAGATGCACTACAAAATAGTGCTATGCAATACCGTAACGGTTATAATCTATTTCAGTGAATGTTGGTGTTATCGCTTCAGTGAAACTAATAGATCGATCCAATTACTATATGTATGCTTTTATTCATTCGTTGGTTTGCTCCGAACTCAGCAATATTCCAGCTGTATAAAGGCGGCTTGTAAATATTCGAATCTGGTCCAGTGATGGATATTATGAACAACAATCCACGCCTTCAGGGTTCGATGACACCGAGTCATATCGTCCGACAAGCAGTGAGAACCAACCCTGACCAGGGCCCACTTGCACAAACCGATCTTAGACTATTGTAATCATATGTTAAAGTATGGGAGTTAAGATCATCTTAGCACTAAGATCGCTTTGTGCAAGTGGGCCCAGGACGTGGTAGTATGTATCACCACAGTGAAACACTATAGATCTTACCTTGTCTGATATTCGCTGCAAGGACGCAGCATGCCACTGCAAAATGATAAATGGAAATGAGAACCTTAAATTTCAACACCACCATTATATACATGTCTCAAAAGAATGAATATATTCTCATATCAATCAATCCGCCATATTGTGAGGCTTTTCTTGAATACACCATGCATTTTAACATAAAGACATATCATTATGCAAGTTATTTTGAGAATCATTTTTCTATTATGCTCTTTCAAATTACAGGTTACAGATCGCCAAAATGCAGACACATTATATTTAACACATACAAACTGGCTATGATTCCATTAAGTTGTTGACCAAAGCGACAAATAAAGCGATTTTCATAATCATAATAATAAGAGCGACAAAACCCTTTCCACTGCCACAAGCATTCCGACTAAAGTCCGTTGTACGATTACGACTATATCAAAAGCATGTGAGTGAGTGAGTTGGGTTTAACGCCGCTTTTAACAGTATTCCAGTTATATCACGGCGTGTCAGCTTAATGTTGGAGGAAAGCCCGAAGTGATGCAGGTCTCAGACGCTTACCACTTCGGTGAAACCCACGATAACGGATATGGTACTGACTAACCTAGAAACATAATCGGGGCGAACCGGGATTTGAACCAACAATCATAGCTTTCTGGCGTGCCCAGGGGACGCAACGCTGCACAGCGAATCGCGGCGCCTTAGACGACTGGGCCACCCGTGCCCTCTCCAAAGCATGTGTTTATGAATCACTGTAAAGTAGTGTTCGTGAAAAGATGAACCTATCCCGTCGCACCGGTGGCACCCCACACAAACACATGTATTATGAGGCAGGTATTCTGGCGTGAGCCATGTTCGCCATCATTCATATTCTTATCAAAACCTACTTTAATTTAGAAAGCAAACCTAGCAAACCTAGCAAAGGTATCGTACTGCATACAGATATAAGTAAAAATACCTTGTGATCGATTAAGATCAGATCAAAGTATAACTGGATTATCAACAGAAACATTCTTACCTTGGAACGTCACAAGAACGGTTTGCAGTATTCTGTTCATCTTCGCAAGTTGACAGACCTTGATTTCACTCCCCTTTATACTCAGAGCTTTAAGCAGGTGGTATCATGTAAAATTTAATTGGCTGCACGTAAGTTCAGATAAATGTTTATGACTTCAGAAATCACGTTTGCACTACAAATAATCACAGGGGACTTGATACCAAAGTAAATAGGTTTATCTGAGATGTTATCATAATGTTGCCTTCCCGGACGTCTCCTACCCATTAATTAATTTTAATACAGCTCGGAGTGGTTCACAAACACTGGGTTGACGCAGTTTATCGACTCCTTGCACTCGACGTGGCAATCAATGTACCTTTACAGAGAAGCATGTCTTATTACGTAACTTTTGAGACGGTAACTGCTATTAAACAACAGGCATAAAGATTATTTACCGTCTGTGTTTCCATATCCGAAGGAGTAAACTTATACTTTATTCCAAATACCTCTCCAGTGGTGTATCAATAATTGGTATTGGGTGAATATGGACCATGGAAATCATATTTCCCGACAAAACCAAATTCTTCTCGCGGAAACCTTTAATCCGGTATACAGGTACGTGAGCCTGATGCCACTATAATCTCCTAACACATGTTCCAGTACATCTCTTGAAGTACTTCTTACCATGCGATGTTACCAGTTGAAGATCATTTGCAAAATTTGGAACAAATTTACTCTTATAATTTCAGAGTAGTATTGCATTTTCGGCTTAGCAAGTCCGTTTGACTCCAAATGAGAACGATGGATCGCAAAATAACTCGAAATCCAGAAAAGTGTATGAAACATCAATACGGTACTTGACCATGAATACCCTGTACCCAACAAAATCTGAATTTTCTTTAATTTAAGACCCATGACGAATGAGTGAGTGAGTGAGTTGGGCTTAACGCTGCTTTTAACAGTATTCCAGTCATATCACGGCGTGTCAGCTTAATGTGGGAGGAAAGCCCGAAGTGATGCAGGTCTCGGACGTTTACCACTTCGGTGAAACCCACGAGCACAGGTATGGTGCTGACAAACCTAGAAATCGGGGCGAACCGGGTTTCGAACCCACAATTATAGGTTTCTGGCGTGCCAAAGGGACGCAACTCTGCACAGCGAATCGCGGCGCCTTAGACGACTGGGCTACCCGTGACCCCCCCCCCCCCCCCCCCCCCCCCTGGAAGGAACAGCGTAAGCACGGTCTGCACGTGCTACACAGTGACCGTGTTCATTCAATGACAAGATGCGCTACTCAGCAGATGTTAAACTGTTGATGTTGAATGTGTATGATTTCTTTAGAAGTGAAGCAGAAAGAGCAAAGCCTTTTTATGCAATTAAAAAATTCTTGAAACGAGCTTCAAAAGCTCTTGGTATGTCCCCTCAGAAACTTAAAAATGTTGTTAGTCGACGAGATACAAATAGTCAGGCCAAGGAGGTAGGGAACATGTCAAAACCACGCAAGGTTGATAAATTAGACAGTTTTCAGAGGGATCAAGTCAGACGTGCAATTGTTAAACTGCACTCAGAAAATAAGTACCTGTCCCTAAGAATTTTGAAGAAACACCTTGAAACTGACCATGATTTACGTGTTACAAAGTACAAACTATGGCAGCTGTTGCATACATTTGGTTACAAATACAAAAAGATAACTGGAGAAAATAGGGCTGTGTTGTGTGAACGGTCTGACATTGTTCGTCTCCTAAATCATTACCTTCGTACCATCAAGCAGAAACGTGAAGAAGGATATGAGCCCGTCTTCTTAGATGAGACATGGGTAAATGCGTCACACACAGCCAGCAGTCAGTGGGTACCCAGTGGTGAATGTAAGGAGTCTGGTAGAAAGTTACCAATGGGAAAGGGTGAAGGACTCATAGTTCTCCATGCTGGTTCTTTAGAGCCAAGGCCAAAGACAACAGGGACTACCACACAGAAATGAACGGCAATGTATTTCTGGAGTGGGTGAAAGATAAATTAGTCCCTGCTTTGCCTACCAAGTCTCTTATTGTCATTGACAGTGCACCGTATCATAGTGTGCAGGATCCAGAAAGCAAGACTCCAACCTCTAATAACCGTAAAGGAGACATTGTTACTTGGCTGCAACGGAGGAACATTTCCTTTCCTTCTCGAGCGACGAAACCACAGCTCTATGAAATCATCAAAACTGTGAAACCTGACCCCGTGTATAAAGTTGACAGTTACATCAAGGGTCAGGGTCACGCTGTCTTACGACTGCCACCTTATCACTGCGACCTGAATCCAATCGAGTTGGTATGGGGCATCGTCAAGGGTGACGTTGGACGATCGAACACAACGTTCAAATTACGAGACGTTGAACAACTCGTAAAGGAATCCCTTGGTCGGGTAACAGTAGAAACATGGAGGCGTTGTGTGGCCACAGTCGTTGACGAGATAGAGCCACGTTATTGGTCACGAGATGGACTACGGCCAGCAAAAGTCCAACCTATAATAGTGGCAGTCGGTTCAGGCACCAGCAGTGTCGACGACGAGATCTATGGCATGAGCGAGTCAGATTGCGACTGAAATTATCATGAGACGGCCCCTCTAACGCTCGGTCATTTCCCCTACCACAGAACGTGCAGTGCATGCGTACTTGCGCTGTGCCTTCCACGGTTTGTCCCCCCTACGTGTCATGTACACATTTCTATACAAAATTACATGATAGTTTCTTAAAGAACTTCATCCGTCATGGGTCTTAAAATAAACAAAATTCAGATTTTGGGTATTCATGGTCAAGTACCGTATTGATGTTTCATACACTTTTCTGGATTTCGAGTTCTTTTGCAATTCATCGTTCTCATTTGGAGTCAAACGGACTGTACATAGGAAGAACGCCATCTTGTGTATTATTCACCGATCTCGATGTGTAATATACCATTGGAAAACATATATAAACACCTTTATTTGATGAAGGCTGATTTTGATCTACTTTTTATCATATATTGCAATTCTTAAAATAATCAACTTCAGATTAATTTCCTTTAAAAAAAAGTGACTTTAGAATGCAGTGCGTGTTACGACTGTCCGGTTTGTTGCATTGTGCCAAATGATCTGCATGTTGCTGTGTTTGTTAAAAGTAGTTCCCTCTAAGTGACCTAATTTTCAATATTTGTAAGGTCGCGTTTATCAGCATCGATACCTCCATCCGTTAAATTGCCGGGCAAAAGAAAGTGTACACATGAAAATTGGATTTGACCCCCCAAATTGCAAACGTTACAGTGGCTGGTTGTGAGATTCTTATTGATATGATGCATGCAATATCACCCGTGATACCCGTCTCAAATGCAAGTACATCACCATTAAATGACCATTTCTTGTTTGTTTCAATTTTTAGGCTTCATTAAAACACGTGGGCACACACTTTCTGTTGCCCAGCAGTTAATGATAAAGTATCATGCTATTCTCTACAAGGATGCGGGGCGGTCGGGTAGCCTAGTGGTTAAAGCGTTCGCTCGTCACGCCGAAGACCCGGGTTCGATTCCCGACATGGGTACAATGTGTGAAGCCCATTTCTGGTGTCCCCCGCCGTGACATTGCTGGAATATTGCTAAAAGCGGCGTAAAACCATACTCACTCACTCACTCACTCACTCTACAAGGATGCTGACGTATTGTAACTTTAATATTTGATTTGGCTATTTAGGAACAATTATATATACAGAGTCGGAAGATGCACTCTATAATTTACTCAAACGGAATCACGATTTTGATTTTCAAAAGTACATTAATAACAATACGCTATTTTCACACCACAGTGCACTCTTACATAGTATGACGTCATTTTGACGTTGTTTGGATTATATCTACGGTGATGTTTGATCTCGGCCGAGTAATGATAAACTTTCTCACATGTATAACCACTATAGCACCTTGGATTATAGATTTTGTGTCAGAGATACTAAGCTGCAATTTTTGTGCGATTCTCCAAAGTTTCAAATGTTTAATTGAAGTTTGAATTGATTTTTCGATGAAGTTTTTTTCGGGTGCGCCAATCACGGCCAGTCACTTACTGATCCCTAATGCTCTCGATGTGCTTCACATACGTGCAAAATGGGCTTTCAAACATGCACATTCTGCTTGGAACCCGACGATTTCGGTCTGTTTCTTTTTGTTTGTTTGATGTATTTTGCTGCACTCAGCAATATCCCAACCATATGATGGCGGTCTGTAATTATCTCGTCTAGGACAGACAATCCAGTGATTGATGTAATGAGCAAGGATCATCGCCTTCGGGGTCCCATGACACGCAATCAACTAGGTCACCGAGACTGACCTCCCGATGTACTTGCTTGCCATGGGTTGCTTGGGACTTTTATCCAGGAATTGCAACTGCGTTCAAATAAATAAAGCGACAAAACCCTTTCCATGTCAAATAGAAATATTTGCATGAAGCAGAGTCGATTTACGATTCCGACTACATCATAAGCATGTGTTTATGAATCACTATCAAATAGTAATGACACCAGGTGTTCGCGAAAAGGTGAGCGTATCCTGCCCCAACGATCCTGTCCCGTCACAAACACATGCACAGGCAAGTCAATTGTTCACCTGAAAAAAACATAGGAACATATGGTACAAGTCCTAATAGGGCATTGCATCGGACATTATTTTTGTCACTGACACGTTAAATTAGGAAATTGTCCCCACATGTCTACGATAAAACCTTTGGAAAACTTTACTGAGGCCTTGAATGTTGTAACCTTGATCAAACAACTTCTGAGCAAGAGTCGTATGACGCTCTTTGAAATCTTGGTAGAAAGAGCACGCTCGATTGTATCTCAAAAGTATGTCAAATGTAAACACCAAAGGCTGGAGCTGCTGAAATATAGCTCGACATGAAGGGAAAGTTGACTATTAAAAAGTTGAAGTCATCCGTTGTAGCGTGTCAAACTATTGGTTTAGTATAATTAGAAGACAGATATGCTGGTACAGTTTTCACAATTTACACAATCAAGATTACTACTTTAATGCTGTCAAATATTCAGTGCAATTTGTATATATT